CGACCTGTCTTTCTATAAATAGAAGAATTAATTGCCAACTATAGTATATAAAAAAATTAGCCGGCATGGTGGCGCATGCCTGTAGTCCCAGCTACTGGAGGTCTGAGGCAGGAGGATCGCTTGAGCCAGGAGTTTGAGGTTGCTGTGAGCTAGGCGACGCCACGGCACCACTCTAGCCTGGACAACAAAGTGAGACTCTGTCTCAAAAAAAAAAAAAAAAAAAAATCTGCTACTGTTATAAAAGCTTCATTTCACATGTAGGGGATATTCTAATGTATAATTTTAACTAGTATTGAAAATAAATATTAACTTGATTCCGCATTAGGGGTCATTCTTTGTTGTCAGAGAAGGTCTAAGTTATTGACCAGAAGCAATGGATTGGTCCTTTTAATCACCCTGTGAAAGGAGGGTCCTGTTATGGCTCTTCAGATGGAATTCTGAGGCTTAGGGAGGTAAGGGACTGTTTGTGGCATATAGCTAGAAATATGGACTCAAGTTCTCTCAGCCGAACTTGAGAGTACACAATGTTTTCCTAGAGAGTATGACTTTATAAGGATGCATGTTTAATAAAACACAGCAACAAGAAACCTTCACAAAACTATGTTAACGATGAGTCAGGATATTGAATTCAACTCGGTATCATAAATTGATCTTGGTAAGCAATCTATATATATATATATATCAATGATGAAGTAAAGGGGAAGACCCAAAAAGATTTTTTTTTTTCTATAAGTGGCCATATGCTTCAGGTGCAGCTCTGCTTTGAATTAAGCACACACTTCACACACTGGGAACTATGGTAATCCTTAGGCAGAATAAAAAGATGGGGTTAAATAAAACTGGGTGCACTGGAGTTACTTAAAAAATGTATCCAGACACAACACATTAGAATGTCTTTGTGCTCAAGAAAATTTGAATTGTACAGCTCTGCTTATAAGGCATGAACTTCAAGCTTTATCTAGAGTTCTTTAGCTGAACCTGGTAACTAACTGAACATTTCCAGTCATATTTTTTCTGAATTTCTAACTTGGCTAAATGAAGTCATCTAAGTTATAAGCCTAATTCGCATTAATAAGAAGATGGTATTAACGTTAAAATGCTCTAAAGCCAGTTTCTACCAATATCTATCTCTTTACTGCCTTTTATATTTCTAAATTCTACTGTTTCTAATGCCAATATGAGATGTTTGAGGTATGAGAGAGCCATGTCTAGACCTAACTGAACTTCAGAACCCAGATATTACAAATTGGTCTGCCACCTGGGTATAACAGACTACAGGGTTAGAGCTGTGTAAATCAAACATCATGCTATCATTCAATGAAACATTAAGCAAATGTTTACCTTGTTCTATGAATATGTTCTTTAGGGAGCTCTGAAGTTTGGCCACAACATATTTTAGAAGCCTTTTGAATAGGTCAAATTGTGGATAGCTTAAAACTTTAAAGACAGCAATTTTAATAAACCTGTCAATACAATTTCTTTGTTAAAAACCCATTTGAGACTGATTAGGCTGCTCATATTGAAAGAGAAGCACAAGGTCTATATCTTTAGAACTTTTATTGGACTGCAAACATAGCATCAATAACTGCTTCTCAGCTGTAAATGAAAATTGATTCCAGGTTTAACTCCTTATTTTCAGGGGTTCCCTTAACCCTGAGAAACATAAGAAGAAATATTTGACAAAAAGAAAAACTGAAGGTTTAGTGGTATGAGGTGGAGGCATGCAGGTAACACAACACATTCCCACTCCCAAGAAGCCTGTCCTCCTGTCAGGTTGCTCCCTAGACAAACACCAGTGGGCAACACTTCCTGCCCTGGAGGACTGGCTGGAAAATGGCAATTCAACAAGTGTTGCATTAAGAAAGCCAGGGTTGGATTTTATATCTATGATGCCAACAGTGGCAGCTGAGAAGTAAAAATGCAGTCAGCTGGGTAATGAACATCATGCAGCCCTCAAATTCCAACCATGTCATTGATAAACCAACTTAAATATATATATATATATATCTCACAACATACATGCTTATGCAGATAATAAGTAAAAAGCACTATGCCCAATTATAACACTGTTCTGGATATTTGCAATGTCCAATGTCAAATTTAAGTGGTTATTTATTTTCCATTCAGGGATGGCTCCTGAGAGAAAACCAGGTTGAGTACAGCATCACAGCAGAGCCTTTTAGCCTTTCTCCAGGACAGAGGGACTTAGAAAGAGAAGGTAAGAGCTGCAACAGAAGTGTATGAATCAATTCTCCACACATGTCAATCCTTTGAAGA